AAACTTTGGCAACTGCCAGGGGCTTTTGGGGGATCTTAGTACTAATTATGTAGACTAAACGCTAAACCCTAAACCCTAGACCCTAAACCCTAAACCCTTAAACCCCTAAACCCCTAAACAGCTCTTGGTCTCTCAGTCCCACCTGGCGGAGCTTACGTCGGCGCTCGCCGCCCAGAAAAGTCGCTCGCAGGAGCCCGGGCGCTTATCCTCGGCGTTAGAAGTGGGTAGTTTGAGGGTTTTAGGGTTTAGGGTTTAGGGTTTAGGGTTTAAGGGTTTAGGGGTTTAGGGGTTTAGGGGTTTAGGGTTTAGGGTGTATATTTGTAAAGCAAACCGTGTCACAAGATTGCGTGAAGAAGACAGCTTTATGAAACCGCACGTCACACACGCTAAGAAACCACAAATTCCGTAAAGAACCAAACCTTACATTGAAAACCACAAACCCGCCACCACAAAACACCAGAAAAACAAAAGTAAACAATCAAAGAATCCTCATACAAAAAACGCTTGTAAAGGTTCTCCTTTTACAACCTGTAGACCCTCAAAGAGACCCCAGGAAACTCCACAGCAACTCCGTGAATAAGTTTCTAAACTCCAATCCACGGATCTGGGCGCCCAAGGTTCGGACCACCGCCAAGATCTGATTCCTGACGCTAGCATCGAGGGATTGAAATTTCGGGTTTTTGTTAGAGCCTCAACCGTCCTAGGCACAGCTAGTGGTGCAAGCGCCAAGGTCGCGTGGCGGTGGCAAAAACCGCAAAGATTTTATTCACGTTTTTCAAACCCTATCGCCCAAAGCCTAAACCCTAAATCCTAAACCCTAAACCATCAACCTAAACTCTAAACTCTAAAAAAATCACCCAAAACCTAAACCCTAAATCCTAAACCCAAGCCTAAACTCTAAACTCTAAAAGAATCACCCAAATCCTAAACCCTAAATCCTAAACCTAAACCCCCAACTCTAGAAAATCACCAAGCCCTCGACTCCAAACCCAAGGCCTTTGAGCCAAAGCCCTACCACCACCAGGAGGTCGAACAGCGGGTGCACACCCTCCAGGAGGACATGACGAAAGCTGCCAGGGCCCCAAATGGGTAGTTCCCTGGATTCGGGTCCCTTTTTTGGTCCCCGATGTAGCTTGGTACGGCATCCTTATAAAAAGAACCCCTAAGAGGGACCCTAGTTGAGAGACCTACCACATATATGTTCATGGCTTTTGGCTTTCAGGGGCTGGGCTTGAAGGGCCGGGAGCCAGGGTGTCCAAGGTTTAAACATTAACGAATCCTCCTCCCGTAAAAACTATAGCCATAATAGAAATGATCATCATCAGAGTAATAGTATATTATTTTGGGCCTTGAAGGAGAGTGTGGCCTTCTTCAGGCTTCGATTCCTCTAGCCCAGCAGGTGGATGTTGGGGGATGTGGCAGTCTGGCACTCCAGAAGCTGTAAACTTTGGGGTGAAGCCACAAATAGTATTCCCGTGTCGTTGAGGCGAAATGGCATGCAAGATGAAAGTGTAGAACACGCCAAAACTCTTGTTCCGGGTCCTATTTTATGGTTATTGGACAGGGGGTCGAAGTTTCGGGAGTAGTGTTTTTGGAGAGTGAGAACTTGGCGCCTCAGGTAAGGGATATGGGCGGTTCTGGGCTTCAAGGTTTGGGGTCTCGGGTGTGTCTTTTGATTCTCTGCTTCAAGAGTGGGCTTTTGTGCTACCTGGTGTCTCGGACCGGTTCTACCTTGGAACACCAGCAGAGTATCGCATGTATGCGGACAGCCAGCCCCTTGCTGCATAGTAAGATCGTGGCTGCATTTATCGTGGAGATGCTACGACACTTTCCGGGGCTCGCCGAAGTACTGCAGGAACCAAAATATTTGGAATTGAGTTTCAGCGCCAAGCGATTATATTTTGGCAATGATTCAGGCCCTTACATGAGTTGGTGACAGATATTGGCCAAATGAAGGTCCGTGTGTTGCATGTCGGGCTGGCGTTTCGGTGTCTTCGTTGCCGTCTGCTAAGGTGGACCATCACGCATCCCTGTCCCGCTCCCTCGTCGAAGCCAAGATGCGCGAGAGGGAGCTGTCACCCGGCCTTTATTCAAGAAGATTGTTGCTGGTACCTACATCTGCCTACCCAAAAGGCAACGGTTGAGATTCGATGCAGAGATTCTCAAACAGTTTTCGTGGTAGAGTTCGACCAGACTTCTTTGTGGCGTCTGTCGGTCAGAGGAAGGCAATATACGGCAAGCTTATTGGCAAGCAAAGCACTAAGAAGCCCGCTGCCCAAGCCATGCTTGTGGATCCTACTAGGCCCGATCGGCTACGCAAAGGCTCAATGGACTCGGTAACGCTGAGTAACACAGTACCCACCCTAAATGGGCTATCCTGAGGCATTCTTCCAAAACCCGAAGCCCCAAGCCCCAAGCCCTAATTGCAAACCTGCTTCCGCCTACTTGCCAGGTTCCCGGACATGTCCCGCCTGACAAAAAGCAGCGCAACATCCCACCCGCCCCCGCCTTTCCAAAAATGCCTACACCCTACGCCCAACAGCCCCAAGTTGGAGGCTACACGAGGCCGTCCGTCTTCAAGCAGTCCTCCAGGACGCGCGTCGGCTCAGTCTCTGAGGGTCGGATGAATGAATAGTACGCCTTTAATTACGATCCTTATAGATTTGCAGAAAAACTATGCCCCAAACCCTAGTTCTTGAGGACACTAGATTAGGGTCTTTGGCCTGTTTCTGGGCCGTAGAATGTCTGCACCCCCTCTGCGAATGTTCAGGTCGAAAGGCCCAGACCCAAGACGGCTTAAGGCAACAAGGGGCTTGAGTGATTAACATGTTCTTCCGCAGGGTTCCTTACTGTAACGATATTTTGAATGCTTCTTATCGTATTGACACTATGATATACCCTAAAACCGGGTTCCGATTATGAAGGTCCCTACATTACCCGAAACTTCAAAGATGCACATCTGAAATTCCGGTACGGGGCTTTGCAGGAGCTCGGAGACTTCGTAGCATCACGCCTGCACGGCCTCACTCCTTGAGCTATGGGTTGGCTCCCCAACACCGACAGCTCATGTGAGCGAGCTGTTTAGGGTTTAGGGTTTAGAGGCTGCTCTGCAAAAAAAACCGTTAACCCCAAAGTCGAAACCCTAAACCTTAACCGTGGGTTTAGGGTTTAGGGTTTAGGGTCTGCTAGAACAGCGCCTGAGCTCAAGCCTCAACCCGAGCAGAAGGCCTTTCCGCGGCTTTGGGTTCAAACTGCGAGTTTTTGTTTGTGCCACGGCTCATTGTCCATGGTGCATGTCACAGGTTGCATTTGCATCGTTTAAAGAAAGTCTTTCCGAAGCGTGCCATTCCCGGCACCATGGAGGGCGAGAAGGGCGAGAAGGGTGAGAAGGGCGCCGGCAAGGGCTATGGCAAGGGCTACTGGGGAGGCCACTTCTCAGCGCTTGAAAGTTTCTTGTAACAGAGTCCGAGAGAAAACCTTGAAAAAACTACAGCATAAACCCTAAACCCTACCCTAAATAACAAACTATGTGGCAAACCATCTGCTAGTGGGCCTTCAACAACAAAGCCCAAAATCCGATCAGTAGCAGTATAATAAGTTTGAGGGGCTAGTTTAGTAGCACCACAGCAGTAACATTTTTCTAGTAGCTCACTTACGTTACACACAGCTAATTACGTGCCACGCAGGTTGGGGCTACCCCCCGATGATGATGATGCCCTGGCTCGGCAAGGGCAAGGGCAAGGGACTGCGAGGCTCGCTGGGGCACACAGGACATCCACCCCTTTATACCCTTCATCCTAAATCCTAAACCCTAAACCCAAGTTGCGTGGAGAGAATGTGAGGTTAGGGCCCTGAGCCTTGTCTCTGCCTAACCCCGAAACACTACTTGGAGGGTCGGGGGACTTAGAAACTGGTTATTTTCTAGACTCATAAGTCTCAGAACCCAAATTAGAATCCCTTTTAAGGTACTTATAACTCTACTTAATATCTACCTACTAAGTCCCCTGACCCTCCAAGTAGGCTCGCCCCGTCGCCGCAGACATTGTCCCTTAAACCCCAGCCGGCACTTAGAAATGGGGATCCGCGTTAAGGATCTTTATTGCTTAGGCTTACACTTGGCCCCTGATTGTTTAAAGCTTCTTCACATTTTGTTTCAAAAAACGCCAAAGTCACAATCCCAGAATTCGCCTGGAAAGCAAGGCACCTCAAATTGTAGGAGGCAGCCAAACGGAAAAAGCTGTCCAAAAAATGCCACTAACCCTTCATATAGTTGATGCATGTTGATCCTGGGCCTCGGTTTTGCCAGGCTTCGCCAACGAGAAGAAGCTTGGCACAGTCATGAGGGTTTCTCCATTGGGACTCTCAGGATACTGGTTTAGGGTTTAGGGTTTAGGGTTCTTCCATTCAGGGACAATACTAGAGGTCTAGTTCTTCAATCTTCGAAGGAGACTAGTCCTGCTATTCATACCGGTTCTTCAATTCAGGGACTATATTAGAGGTCTAGTTCTTTAATCTTCGAAACTCCCAAGTTCTCCTCAGCGATGTAGGGCTTAGGTTCGGGGATGTAGGCTTTGAGGGTCAAAGTTGCCAGGAAGATTAGACAGTTTAGGGTTAGCGATTAGGGCCTAAAAGCCGACTTTCCCAGCTGATGATCAGAGCCCTAAACCCTAAACCCTAAACCCTAAAACCTCATTGCCATGCCTGCCTTGTGCGAGTGTGTGAGTCGAAACCCTAAACCCTACACCCTAAACCCTAAACCCCAAAAAAGGGTTTAGGGCCTGAGACAGGGACCGTAAGAGCTGCCAGCAGTTCTGTCTGGTGCTTAGTAGGGAATGGGGGAAGGGATCCCCATGATAGTCCCTTAAGGTCCCTTATAGTAGTCTCTATAGCCCATTCCCCCATTCCCTACTAAGCACCAGACAGAGTTTCTAGGGTCGTCTTCATGGAGCCTCAGTTCGTCGTACTTCGGCCTGCAGGTGAGATTTGCGGTTTGTGTAGTTCTGCTGAGCCAAAACTTGAAGACCTTGTCCCGAATGGCCCCGCCCCGAAACCCTAGACCAAGCTGGATGTTTCAGGAAGGTGTGCATCGGGGGCTTGCCGGAAGGAGAGCGGGATGTGGAGAAGAACAAGACGCTGGGCTTCCTTTGAATGATATAGGGTCTATAGAGGTCTACAATTTTGACCTATACTATGTTGGGGGTTCCTTACTATATTTATAGTGTAATATACCCCCCCAAGACCCAATTCCAATTAATAAGGCCCCTGTATTGACTGCCGGGCTCAGGCTGTTCACACAAGGTTTGGGATTTCTCGTGTCGTGCGGGGGAGACCCGAAGGCGGTTTAGGGTTTAGGGTTTAGGGTTTGGGGTTTAGGGTGAGTGAGCGGGACAGCTGAGGAAGCTCAAAGAGCACATGGCACAGGCGGGGCAGGATAGTACGAACGTCCCTGTGTCGTCCCTGTATCAGCAGAGTAGCAATATTTCTTTTCTGTCTCTATACATGCATAGTAGCGATGGATGTGCCCTCACAGGCAGGAGTTGGCAGAGGTTGTGCTGGTTTCTGTACTGTGTGGAGTTTAGGCGGAGGTGTTCCACTCCTGACACCTGCATGCGAGTTCAGCTGCAGGCTCGGAGACGAGGTTGAAACACCTTCACTCCTGAGCGAGAAACCCGCCAAGGGGCTGAGCTACCCTAACCCAAAAGCCTAGACTGGAAACCCCAAACCCTAAACTCTGAACCGAAACCGTCACTGTGCTGATCAAGCAGGGCATGTATCGGCAAGCCAACACCTGCAGATGCAGCAACACAGAGCCAGGCTGGCGAGTGCATCTTCGCTGAGATCAACCGCAACGGCGTGGGCGGAGCAGCATTCAAGAACCCTGAGGACTGTCTTTGGGGTCTTTTGGACACAAGGTTGTTATACATGAAGGTTTTGGAGAAGGGCTTTGGGCTCAGTATGAGGATGTCAGGTTGAAGGCAACCATGGCGGTCATCGCTTTCAAAGTTCAGAAACCTGGAATCGCTGTAGTTATACGAGGCTAAGCAGTGAAGAAGGCTAGCCGCGGGCTGGCGTAATCTGCAAAAGAGCGCAGGATGCAGAGTACTGGTAGCACGAGTTGGAAAATTGGGAGCGGCAACGCCGCAACTGCAGGATGTGCAGAAGGCGGTGGCCATGCTCAACGGCAGTGCCGATGCTGCAGTTCATGAGAACTTGAAACTGTAAAGCCTTAAACCTCCTGACAAGAAACTTGAGATTGGTGCTCGATCCGTTAAGCAGGCCCAGAGACCCAAAGCCAAGATACCCGCATAACCGTCCCAAGATTTCCCACAGGATTTCACAGACTGCGCTTAGCTGCTATCAGCATCTGGGGTACTGTTATGCCAAGTCTCCATTTACGAACACCGTGAACACACTGTCGGTGATGATCAACCCTAAACCCTAAACCCTCTTTTGGAGAGCAGGGTTTCAGTTGGACGAAGTGGAACCGGGGTCCCAAGCGGCATCGAACACCGCGCTCCCTCTTTACATTGGCTGCTTGCACTGTGGCGCGTGGTTTCGCAAAGGATGACAAAGCTAAACCCTAAACCCTAAATCCTAAACCCTTAATCCTATCCCTTAAATCCTAAACCCTAAATCGAAACCCTAAACCCTAAACGGGAAACCCAAAGCTCCTCAAGTCGCTCCCCAAACTCTTCAGACCCTCTCCCAAAGCCCTCCTGCCTCAAAAGGCTCCTTCGAGGGGCACAGCATCCAGGCAAGTCTTTGAGTGAAGCACACGTCTTTTTGGTTCAATCCCCTAAACCCTAAACCCTAAACCCTAAAACCTAAACTCCTAAACCCCCTAAACCCCTAAACCCTAAACCCCTAAACCGTAAACCTTAAAACCCTAAGCTAGGAGGGTTTCATAAGGAGGTTCTAGGTCTCTCTGAGCCACCTTTTTCTTCATTTTTGGGTTTGGTTCCCCGATGCAAACCTGAAGAATAGGAAATGTGCAGAATTACTAGTAAAGTGACTGGGGCCCCTACAAGCTCATAAAATCTCTGTTAGGGCTGGTCCTATGCAGGTTTTACGGTCGAAAGCCTAAGTGAAAGAGGTATGAATAATTTACCAATACTATACCCTCAGGCTCCTTCATGTAGTGATGCCCAAACACGAACCATAACCCCCCCAAATGAACCGCCTCCCACTGATTGCAGGTTGATGTCTGGCAGCGCAAGGCGGACACACCCGAAGCATAAGAGGCCAAAGCAGACTGCGGAGACTCCGAAATCACCGGCAAGGGTTGAGGGTTACAATAACTTGACAATAACGGTTCCTTTGAGGGTTCCTGTGAAGGTTTATTTTACATATGGGCTTCCTGTAAGGACTCCAATGATGTGTAAGGGTTCTGTACAGAGTCCGGGGTTTAGGGGTGTCCGGGGTTTAAGGTTGCAGTCCCGGTTCACGGGGCCCTACGATGACGCAGGGAGCAATTGCTTGCTACAGGATTTTCGGGTCTCTGGGTATACCATATGTTTGTACGAGGCCAGGCGGGGAGCTTTCTGGCTAGATTTTGCTGAACACCCTAAACACCAAGCCCCCAATCTACACCCGCACATTCAATTTTTCCGCGGGCCTAGACCCTACACAGCCCCTCTGTCACACACCCCTGAAATTCAGATAAAGCCTAAAACTTAAATCCTGAACCCTAATTAACACACCCCTCTCAAAACTCTTAAAGCCAAAACCCCTAAACCCTAAACCAGCCTTAAAACTGAGATAAAACCTAACCCCGAAACCCTAAGATACCCTTCAAAAATCAGTTACCCTAAACCCTAAACCCTAAACCCTAAACCCTACGACTCCAGAAACCAGCTCCCCGGCTGCAAGTGCCTTGAACCACGCGAGCCGCGGACCGCGGGGAGGCGAAAAGAAGTTCGCGCGCCAGTGCCGGTTCAGGTTTCCTAGGGTTTGGGGGTTTAGGGGTTTAGGGGCTTGGGGGTTTAGGGTTTAAGGGTTTAAGGGTTCAGGGCTTAAGGGTTTAAGGGTTCAGAAGTTTCGGGTTTAGGGAGTGTTAGTCGGCGGACGAGTGGCTAACTACCAGGCGCGTTCTTGCTTGCAAGCCTGCAGCAAAAGGGTTTACTTGGGGGGTCTAATCAGAGTCCCCGTCCTGGCATCCACTAGTCCAGGTGTAAAGGGTCTGGGTTTAAGGTTCCGGATGCGTCGGAACAAGGAGTTCCCCTGGGTCCGCTAGACTTGGGTCTCCTTCTGAGGTCCTCAAGAGACTACGCCACCCTTGTGAGAAGGGTTCTGACAGGAATCTTCAGAAACTCATCTCCGTATGATTCATCCTGTCCTGCTTGTTCTGCACTGATGAGTTTTTTTTGCGATAGAGTAGCAGCCTCATCCTGATTGCGTGATGTCGTCGGCCACTAGTATAGGGTCGTAATTAAGAAGCTATGGGTGTTGATAAAGGCTTTGTATACGTATCCTTATATTCCTTATTTTGAGGGAAATAGGGGGAAATAGGACCAAGGCTTCTTAATCACGTTGCCAGACAATCGTGCATCCCACTCTTGCGTCCCAATCTACATAAGCCCTAAACCCTCAACCCTAAACCGTACTGCCCGGAGCTTAGTTTGACATCCCCAAACTCTAAAACGGGCTTTTTGTGTTGAGGTTTTCGATGAAGAGGAGTTGGTCAGCGTGGGTTTGCAATGCCAATACAAAATGGCACTCCTTGTTGGAGGTTTTTGATAGCTTTGGTAGATTTTAAGCAAGGGCTTGTATGAGAGTCTTACCCGCAACCTTAAGTACTATGGGAATGGTGGTACGTTCCTTGTGCTGAAACGAGGCAGGTTTGTGTCCATCAGTTTTGAACCCGCAATTAATGTGACGCACTGCGCCCCAGGACTCAAGGAATTACAGGGCTGAGCTCTTCGTCTTCAAACCCTAAACCCTAAACCCTAAACTCTAAACCCTAAACTCTAAACTCTAAACCCCAAACCCTAAACACTAAGCCCTAAACCAAGAACACAAGCTCCTTCATATAGGCACCCTGCACCCTCAACAATTTCAGGAGTGGGAGTCCAAAGTCGAAAAGATCTTAAGCCCCATAGAGTTTATAATCCCAGACCCTGAAGCTCCTAAACCCTAAGCCCTAAGCCCTAAACCCTGAACCCTAAACCCTAAACCCTAAACCCTGAACCCTAAACCCTAAACCCTGATATGTTTAATCCCAAACCCCGAAGGCTTGAAGCGACCCTTCCGTAGACCCTAAAGGACCTCACGCGAGAGCAGCGTGCTCCTGAGGAGACGAGCGGGAATGGGGTTTAGGGTTTTAGGGTTTGGGGTTTAGGGTTTACGGTTAAGGGGCGAGGGTTTAATGTGAATTTCTGAAATCGGGGCCCGAATAATTTGTAACTCTTAATACCATGTAATACCATACCTTACGGTTCCTTCATCTAGTTATCTTGCAGTATACCCCACACTCCGTCTAATTATGAAGGCCTCTACATGAGGTTTCGGCTTTCGCTTTCAAAGCACAAGCGCCGAACTGCAAGAGCCCACAGTCCAAGGACCCCCCAGCCAACCTAACGGGGTTGTCCCCACGAAGCACGAAGCAAGAAACCCCAAACCCAACCAAAGTGAGCTGCAAGCCGAAGACACAACGAGATCTCAGAGCCTATATATTTCTTTTCTTGTAGTGTTACTTTTTTTTTAGGGCCCTCACAAGTTTTAAGAGTCCTAGTACTTAGGGTTTATATGAGGGTCCCCTCTTTTCCCAGGAGCCGCCTCAGCGGCGGGCGCCTGAGGCCGCGGCAGAGCGCAGCGGCCCCAGGGTCCGCAGGAACTTGGGAGGAGCTACCAAACGGTTTAGGGTTTAGGGTTTAGGGGTTAGGGGTTCCGGGCGAGAGAAGCCTGCTGCAAAAAGGGGTTAGGGGTTTAGGGTTTACGGTTTAGGGGTTCGGGTTTAAGGTTTAGGGTGCCCTGAGAGCCCGACACCCCGCAGTTAAGGAATATAGCTTAAATCAGAACATGAAGCCCCTATGATTTAAGGTATATTCGTGAATTGAGGGGTATCGGGCTCCATGGGTACATACCCGTTTAGGATGTTGTAGGGGCTGCTAGGGTGTAGCGTAATTTTAGGAGACTTGAACGGTTGTTTGCGGTTCAGCGGTTGAGAACGTTCGTCCTGCCACTTCCAGAAAGCATTCCAACTTCAAAGAACTTGTGTTGCAAAGCTGCACACCGTGTGCACCCACAAGGTTCCAAGCTTTCCATCTTGGACTTCGGAACGCAAGAACGCGTGGCCCAAAATCTTAAACCGTAAAACGCAGAACAAGCCTGATTCCTAACCCCTGAACCACAAAACCTCCAACCCGAAAGCCCCAAACCCTGAACTCTAAACCCTCAACCACGAGCTTTGAACCCTACCCTCTGAACTTCAAGCCCTCAGCACCAACATCGAACCCTGCACGTTCCTCCGACGTCACAACGTATCGGAGCCCCGAGCCCTAAGCCCTCCTCAACCCTAATATAGGGGCCTTAATAATTACCTATACCATTTTGGGGGTTCCTTACTATAAATACAGTATAATATACCCGAAAACCCGGTTCTAATCATTTTGGCTCCTACATTAAGCCTTAAACCTGTAGCCACCAAGGGTTAGGGTTAGCATCCTTTGCCGTGGAATGCCTCCTGTGGAGGGCCATAGGAAAGGTCGGTGTGGGTCGTGTACGACTCTGGTTCGATGCGAAGTGCAACCGCAAGATTGTATGTCGTAGTTCCCTGGCCGAGGGGCCTTCGCAGTGACTTCATGCTGGGAAAGATGGGCTCGAACAAAAGCCGGAGCGAGCCTACGAAACCCTCCTCCCTCCCCAACGCAAAACTAAGCTCTCAACCCCAAACCCTTAACCCTGAATCCTCAACCCTGCTCGTCCTTGCTAAGCAGGAAGGAAAAAACCCTCACCCCTCAACCCTAAATCCTCACCCCTCAATCCCAAACCCTCACCCGAGACCAGCACCCCAGCATCCCTCAACCCCAAACCCTGAACCCTAAACCCTAAAACCCTAAAGCCCTAAACCCTTAAACCCCTAAGCCCTAAAAGCCTTAAAAACCTTAAAAATCCTAAAAACCCTAAGAACCCTAAAAACCCTAAAAACCACTAGAAACCCTAAAACCACCTAAAAAGGGGGAAAAAGCCCCCCCTCCCAAACGGCTACGAACCCAAGGCCTGGCCTTGCACGGAGCCTAAACCCTAAACCCTAAACCCTAAACCCTAAACCCTAAACCCTAAACCCTAAACCCTAAACCCTAAACCCAACGAACCCAAGGCCTGGCCTTGCACGAAGCCTACCTCCTGCAGCTGCTCACGGAGAACAGCCGGCTCCGGCAGCGAAGTTCTGGCCCCGGAGCTGACAACTTGCACCAAAACTCGTTTTTTTGTTATTTTTTTTTTATGGTTCATTTTAAAAGGGTCCTCAGGGTTAGTGCTGTGACATCCGCCAACCCCTTTCAGTCCGATTTGGTGCAGGTGTTGTTGTTTTTTTCCAGTTGTGTGGGTTGGGGCAGGTGCTTGAGGGTGTTGCGGTTTGCGGTTTGAGGGTTTCCGGGATTTGGGACTTAGGGTGTGGCATTGGGTGTGGAGGTTCTCGTTTCTGTGGAATTCGGGGCTTTCAGGCCGTGGGTGGCCAGAGACTTCTCACCCTTCTGTTTTCGTGCATGGCTGGGGGGCTCAGGTGGGCTTGGTGATGAATATTATTATTCTATTTTTTATTATTATTGCTATTATTATTATTATTAGCAGTCGTAGTAGTAGTATTATTATTGCTATTATTACTATTATGATTATCTTTGGTTTCAGAGTTAGGGGTTCCCTCTTGGGTGCCCTAGCATCAGCAGAAGGAAGCTTGTGTTTGGCATTCTATGGTGATGGGTCGTCATCGGCATCACGGCATCCTGTCCGTTTTCGGTTTCTAAGATTCTATGGAGCCAACTGAGAGACAATTGAGGCCTACATGTGGGCATTACTGGTGCTGTGCATACTGAGGCCAAAGCTGACATGTTCTAGCCCGCAGCTATGCGCAAAAAGATTGCGCTCCGCACCTTGCACATGCATAGATGGCTGCCTGAGGCAGTGAGACATGTCTGCACGTTTTTGATGTATTCGGATGGACCAGGTGGCCGGGGGGGGGGGGCGGGGCGGCACGAAAATGGTCCATGAACCTTGTTAGGAAATTGCCCATGTCCCACAGATGCAGCTTGGAAAGCAAGCCGCAGGTATTTTGTTCGGGCATGTTGCAACACAAGTTCTTGTTTAGTGTTCGTTCCACAAACCGATCGAGCGATAGAGATGGCATCCACGGCTGGATCGGCATGACCTGCTTGATCTGCCTATTGAGAGGATGTGTGTGAACAGTGGATGTGGAACACTGAGCACTTGAATGGGCAGTGCTTACCATTGTTTCTTGTACGGTTGTGATGCTGTGTTGATGGGAAATCTTGGCTTTGGGTTGGTGCACGGTAGGACCTCAGTGGTTCCGCGCAGCACAGGCTGGGTTTCAGAATACTCGGCTCCCGTCCCCGAGAACCTCAGCCCACAACTCTGAACTCGCACCTTAACCGTGAATCGCTACACCCACAGCGCTAGACCTGGATGAAGTTTTTCGATTGTGCGGCTTCTTCGGCTCAAGCGGCTCATGGTTGTTTGTGCCATTGCTCTCTTTGTGCAGGGTGCAGGTCACAGTTCGCAAGTGCAGCGTTTAGGCAGGGTGCATAGGGCGGACCGCGACGAGCTTTCCGACACTCGCCATTCCCGACACCATGGAGGGCGAGAAGGGCGAGAAGGGATCCGGCAAGGGCTACGGCAAGGGCTACTGGGGAGGCCGGTGGTGGGGTGCATTTTTGAGGACCCGACTGTAAATGTAAATCTGCCTTGACTCCAAACCCCGCAGGCCCAAACCCTAAACCATACGCCCTAGTGGTTCCTAGTCGTGATGGGTTCTTGGGACGATTTTGGGTGTGAGGGCTGCAAGTCCTACTTTTCGGAAGCGTAGTTGTTCAGACTTTAGGGCTTTGGGGTTTTCGTTTTTGTTTATGGCTATGGGGGCTTTGGGTTTAGGTTGATGTTTCGGGGCTTAGGCGTTTAGGTTGATGCTTGGGATGCCTGGGAGTTTGGGGTTTTACAGTTTAGTTTTCAATTCGGGGATTCCTCAATGAAGATATCGTTCTGAGGTCTCAGTGTTCGATTGAGGGTGGTTTGCGGCGGGTCAATCCCCGGTACGGTGCACAAGTCGTTGCAGCGATGATCCTATACCCTGCAGCAACCCCTACTTGGACTTGGTAACTACTTATTTTATAGTCGTATAAGTATCATAACCAAAAATTAGAATCGCTTTTAGGGTACTTATAACTTTTAGGGTTTAGGGTTTAGGGTTTAGGGTAGCCAAAATTAGAATCCCTTTTAGGGTAGTTATAGCCCTACTTCATACCTACTTACTACGTCCCCTGACCCTCCAGGTAAACTTCCGAGCCAGAGGATCCTGACCCCCCTGAGTCTGAAGCAACAACAAAACATGCTGGACTAGAAAACCCTACCTGGACCCTAAGAAACCAGAATTGTTTAGGGTCGCTTATTACGGTTTATATAATTTAACCTACATGGTTTGGGGTCCCTTATTATGGTTTGTATAAAAATTTTATATACAAAGTTTCTTGAGAAAGGTAGGTCTTTTTGGGCCACCGGCGAGTCCTAAGTCCTAAACCCGAAGCCCGTCATTCCTGAGCCGCAAGACCCCTCAGCCCTATAAGGGTTTAGGCTTAAGCTCTGAAGCCCCCCCCAGGCCCGAGACCCCAGCCCAAAGGCCCTAAATCCCAAATCCGAAAACTTAGGGTTTAGGGTGCAGGGAAACCCCTAAGACATCTCACCCATATGTTGCGGTAGAAAAGCCGCTGAAGCCCCACGCCCGAACCCCAACCTCAAAAACTGAAGCCCAAGACCGAACAATTGTTAACAACTCTTCAGAGGCTAGGGCTCGCCTTCGCTGATTTGGGGCTTAGGGTTTCGGGTGCAGGGTTTAAGGTTTACTGTTTCGGCTATTAGGGTCACCTACAGCTCCAGCGCAAAATCCTGAGCTAGGCCTTAGACCCTGGCCATGCAATTGTTGGCCTCTAAAGAATCCTTATAAAGCCTCATGACACTCATAGCCACCCTTTTCAAAGGCCCTAGTACAACCCGAAGGTTCGCGACGAGCCTAGATTTTAGGCTTCAGGGTTTAGGGTTTAGGGTCTTTACTGCCCGTAGCATCAAAATTGAACGCCCCACAACGCCTGAACCTGATGCCCCAAAGCTCTAAATAAGTAGTTCTTTGAATTAGGGTCCCTTTTAGGGTACCTTTGAAAACGCTGCCCATAGTGGGGACTGCAAAAGGGGACCATCATTTGGAGAACTACCCACAAGAACTCCAAAGGCTGGGCCTACCCACCAAAGAAACCCCGTGCCCGGAGGCTGGGGCTACACCCCAAACAACCCAAATCTTAAAGCCCTATAAATCCCCAAACCCTAAAGTCCCAAAGCCCTAAACCTCTTAAAGTGGCCCGGAGGCTGGGGCTACCCCCCGATGATGATGATGCCCTGGTTCGGCAAGGGCAAGGGCAAAGGTCTGCGAGGCATGGGGCCCGCAATGTCTTTCAGGCTTCGTTTCAGGGTTGTCGGTTTTAGTTGTTGAAGAGTCTGCGGTTTAGGGTTTCGGATTTTACGGCTTTTGGGGTTTAGGGTTTAGGGCTTTTAGTGTTTAGGGTTTAGGGTTTATGTCTTTCTGGGAAACTGGGATGCTTCCTTTAATCGTTAAGCCTTAAAGCCTAACCCTACTACAAAGGCTATTATACGGTTTTCATAAGGTTTAGATGTTTTGGGTTGTACGTGTTTAGGGCTTGGGGGACTCAGAGCTCAGGGTTTAGGGGGTGGCGTTTCGAGCTTTAAAGCTTTACGGTTGTAGTGGTTAGGGTGTAGGGATGACCTGTTGTAGGTTTCTGGGAGTTCTGCTCTTTTTTTCGAGGGTCGACAAGATGTTCGTTTTTTTGCGTACCTTCTGAGAGTTCACGGGTACGGTTCAGGCGGACCCTAAACCAAAGCCTTAAAGTCAAAAGGCCGCCTAGACACCCTGTCTAACAACCCTTATAGACACCGTTTCTAGAAGCCGTTAAAGACTCCCTCGCTGTAGCCCTGATAAAGCATGATTTGATCTGTTGAAGTCGTGTCAAAGTTGTAGGGCTAAAGTTCGTGGATGAGGAGCTATAAAGTCAATTCCGAAATCAAGGTTGGAAGCTCATTGTCCTCATGCAAGCCATAGGTAGTACTCGTACCAGTAGTCATCATCCTTTTTGCCGTTTCCACTTTGTGAGCTTTTCCGGGAACCCTAAACTAAACCCCAAACCCCTTTGTAAATTCTAAATCCTAACCCCAGGGTCATGCGATGTGCACGCGGACTCTGTAGCCAGTCCTGTCAGGTTTCGCCAACGAGAAGACGCTGGCCTCGTGAGTTTGGCAAGCTTTTCCATAAGCCCCCCCAGTCTCTAGCAAAAAGAAACTAGACTATACCTTAATATGCTACTCCACAATCATAATGTAGCAGCTTTCCATATTATGAGTATATCCATATTGTGAGTATAGTATACTATACCCCTAAATCCTGTTCTGGTTATTTCGGCCCTTTCTTCAACTACTATAAGCATACAGCGTCTCGTCAACTTCGGCGTGCCGTATCTGGGGCGTTGATAAGGAGGATCCTGAACTCCCGTATAGCTTCGAACCCTAAACCTTGAACCCCGAACCCCCAAAACCCCCAAACCCGTAAACCCCAAACCCCTAATTTAGGGTTTAGGGTTTAGGGTTTAGGGGTTTAGGGGTTTAGGACCGAGTTATGTTCTCTGCCACCTTTCAAGATCATATTCCCGAGCCCGAGGCCCCCCGACGCGAAGCTCAAGCACCCGAATCCGTAAGCGGCTACTCCCCGCAAAAAGCGCGTTCGAAACCCAACGGCTTAGGGCTTCGGGTTTGGGGTGTATTCGGGATCTGAATGTTTGGTAATGGTACGCCCCAGGGTTCCCTCATACGATAGTAGTATCACCTCCAAAAAGCCAAGACCGAAAACCCTAAATCCGAAACCCGGGACCTGAAAACTTGCAGGGCTGAGTTTGGCAAACGCCGCAAGAGTGAAAGGATGTTGTGCTCGGCTACACCGTTTTGCGCAAGGGGAGTATTTTAGGTGCCCGAATACGTAGGTTTTGGGGTTTTTAGGGTTAAAAGGAGGTTTCGGGTTGAGGGTAAACGGTTTAGGGTTTAGGGTCTAGAGGAATAGTATGCCTTCGAGTTAGAATTCTGGTATAGCATACACCAGAACCCTATTCTAATTATTAACATCCATGCACTATCGACCTTCCTCAGGCTCCTGCGCCGAAGCTTGTGACTTCTGGCTGAAAGCTCGCCAAAAAAAGCCCTAAGCCCCGAATCCCTAAACCCTGAAACCCTAAACCCTAAACCCTAAACCCTAAACCCTGAACCCGAAACCCCCTAAGCCACCGAACTTGAGGCTCTGCGGCCGTAGGATTCTGCATAGTATCCCTTAAAGGAAGGTTTAGGGTTTAGGGTTTGGGGTTAAGGAACCCCTTTAGATCCCCTACTGGAACCCCTAGAAGACCCCTGAAGGAACCCCGTCAAGAGCCCCTTAAAGCAACCACGTCAAGAATCCCTTAAAGGAACCACCACCCCCCGGATGGATCCCTTAAAGGAACTCATATGGGGACTTCCGAAAATAGGGGACCCTAATATAGTACCCTAAATAATAGGATCCTTACCAAAAGGACCCCCAAATAAGGTACCCCCAATTTTCGGAAGCTCCCATATTGATCCCTCCAAAGGAACCCTAGAAGACCCCGATCCCGGAAGCTTCAGGAAAGTGTGGATCGGGGGCTTGCCGGAGGGAGAGCGAGATGTTGAGAAGAACAAGACGCACGCCCGTTTTAGTGTTTACGGGTTTTGGGTTTTGGGTTTAGGGTTTCTGGTTTTGGGTTTCGGGATTTGGGTTTAGGGTTTGGGTTTTGGGTTGAGGGTTTCTGGTTTTGGATTTAGGGTTGAGGGTTGAGAGTTTAGGGATTTGGGTTGAGGGTGGAGGGGTTAGGATTTCGGGTTTAGGGATGCCCGGCAGATTGTAGTGCTTAAGCGGCTTAAGCCTTGGGGTAAAGCTGCTGCTTATAAGGGTGTATCGGTCTAGGACAGTTTCAGGTGGGTAGTTACCGTTATAGGAGCCTTATAGAAGGTCTATATACCTTATAGAAGCCTTATAGAAGCCCTATACACCCTAAACTCCCCACCCGTAGTTT